AAGTTATAGCATTATAAAGTTAAAAATATAAAAATGAATTTTTTTACAAAAATCGTATTTTTTTTATAATATTTGATGTCTGTTTTCACCATGAATATAAAATAAAGTCCGAAATTTTTTTTTTTGCATAATAAAGTATATTACATTAACTTTAATTTAAGATATATATAAAAGTGTCAGACTTTCCGGAACACTTTCAAAATTTAAGTTGAAAAAGTTCTACTTTCTATATGCATTTTTATGTTTTGAATCCCCCCTGTATTAAGGGAAGTGGTCCGATTTAAAAAAAAAGTATGTCGAATGAAAGATCTATATAAATACTACTTTTCATAAAAAAATTGTACTGATCCATACACTTTTCAATATGTCATAGCATTATAAAGTTAAAAATGAAAAAAATAAAATCGAAAATTTTCACACAAAAAAAGCATTCGGTAGCCATTTTCGCTGTGAAGATAAAATAAAGTCCGAAATTTTTTTTTACATAATAAAGAACATTACATTAGCTTTAATTTAAGATATATATAAAAGTGTCAGACTTTCCGGAACATTTTCAAAATTTAAGTTAAAAAAATTAATTTTTTGTGAAAAAGTTGTCATTTTAAATCCCCCCTTGTGGGCAGGTTAAGGGTTAAATTTATGAAAAAAATATACCAAATGAAAGGTAATGATATTATGCATCTATATAAAAAAGAATTATATTGATATGTTCATTTTTGAAAAAGTTATGGCACTTTTAAGTAAAAAAAATTGAAAAAATTTCGAAAATTAGCGATTTTTAAATTTGTAATTTTTTTGGAGGTTTCCCCCTTTTACGGGGAGCGAGGGAATTTTTTTCAATTTTTGAGGGTAATGTCTTCGACTAGATACAATTTGTGATCTTTTGACGTATCATTGAAAGAAATTGGTTCGGTGAGAGCTGAGAAAAAGTGGTAACAGACAAAAAAAAAAAAAAAAAACACATCTTAGTAAAACCAATACCTTCTCAGCTTCGCATCGAAGCTAAAATGTAAAATATAAAATCGAGAATTTTAGCACAAAAATAGTATTTGGTAGTCATTTTCACCGTGAAGACAAAATAAAGTTCGAAATTTTTTTTTCCATAATAAAGTACATTACATAAGCTTTAATTTATGATATATATAAAAGTGTCAGTATTTCCAGAACACTTTTAAAAGTTAATTTTTTGTGAAACAGTTGTCATTTTAAAACCCCCTCTGTGGGCTGGTAAAGGGTTTCAGAAAAAAATATAATGTTATTTTTTTCATTCCTAGTTGGCTGTCTGGTTATTGTTTGATTAGTACTTCGAAAAAATCTAAAGCCAGACTTGGAATGAACGGCAAAACTAAATACTAAATTCATCTAAACGATGTAGATAGTTGTAAAATGTAAATGTTTTGTCTAATTTCGTAATTGAACCTATAGAAAATATTTTTAATTTTTTTATCAATTTAAATTATTCAAAACTATTAAAATTGTTCTGAATAAACATAAAATTGACGTTTAACTAATTATATTGTAATTTAATAAGACTACTGAAAATTTTTTTTAAATGATATATTTTAGATAATAGGTATTGAAGAAATAAATTTCCTCAATTTATTTTTATTTAAAATTTCCTAATTTGAATAAAACTTAAATTTTCAATTCATTTTTTTGCGTAATGATTTTCTTTAGCTGTCGCTATAAAAATGTTTTATTTATTTATTCACACCCATGTTAAAACCATACGCTGTAAAATAACAATATATCATTCTTGCAAAAAAGGACGTTTAAGTGCGATTTAAAACAAACATATGTGATCATTTAAATTATTTTCGAAAAATTTGTCATTGTGTTTAGTGAATATACTAAAAAATATTTTTATTAAAAGTTCGCAAACATAACTATATTTCACACGCTTATATTTGTTTCACGTGTATGTTGTGTGTTTGTAACTTTCCATGTGCTTTAAGAGCGTGTTTTTTTAGTTTTTTTTAACTATATTTCATTTAAGAAGTAAATAAAAATATCCTGCGATAATCTATGAATAATTTTTATTGACGTACTTCATGTGTAAACGTGTCAACTAAATTTGATTAAAACAAGTACTATATTTAGTGTTTACAATTAAAATATCGTTTTTGTAAATAGATTGATGTTCTACCATATTTAAGATTACTCAAAATTGACTGAATTGTTCTATATAAACGAAAATTATTTATTAATAAAAATTATTATTCGCGTTTTAAAGTTATATTGTCAGTTTTAGATCTTTGAAAATGGGTTTCTATTTTTATTTTGTGTGTGTAATTATCATACCTACGTTTTCAACTGGAAATGACGATGATACAAAAAGACTAGTATTTATAACTACTGATATTATTTTATTCTCTTATTACAATTATTTAGTTGCTTAAGTATCTTCTCTTATACCTTAATAGATTATTAGCAATTACAATTTTATTGTATTTATAATGAAATAATTATGATTTCAATAAACATAATTTAACGGGAGATTATAGATACAAAACACCAAGTCCTTTATATAATATTAACTCAAATCATAGAATAATAAATAGGTTACATTAAGTTCAAGTTTAATTGATTAACCATTAATTATTTTAAAATTAAATCATAATTTTCTTCATAAGAAACAGGCCTATAAAAGAGCGATTTCTGAATCATTGGACACCTTATTTTTTTCTAAAAATCTGGTCATGAAGCGTCTTTGTAACAGACTGTTTTGTAATTGTGCTCTTTCTGACTTAGAAACTTTTTCACAATTGGTGTCTTTTATCTGACTCTCTGAGTAATAATTAGTGATGGGCATTTTCGAATATTTTAAACTATCGAATAGTATTCGATAGTTTTTGAAAACTATCGAATAGTTTATTTTCAGCATAAACTATCGAATATTTTTACTATTCGAATATTTTTTTAATGACTATCGAATAGTTCGATAGTTTCTATTCGATATTTCCCATCACTTATTATTACCAATAATGTACTTAAAAAAATAATTATGTTTTATTATTTTTTTTTATTTAAGTTAATTAATTATACGTTTTATTTTTGTGAGTTGTTCCGGTTGAGAATTTTTTTTTAATTCTTTAATTGGAGTATCTATTTAATAAGTGCATTTCGAAAATCTACCTTTGTCACATCCAGCGGTTGCAACTATTGGTAAAATAGTAGTTTGTGACGTGTTACTAAGGAGATCATAAAATGTATCTTAAATTTAGATAGATATGTGTTTGATTGATTGCACAGGTTTGATGGTTTATTGAAATCATTACCTTAGCACATACAGCGGTAAAAACTATTGGTAAAATAATAGTTTGTGTCGTTAACTAGAGGTTGATTCTTATATTCTATCACATTATACAGAGATTTTAGTAAGTAAGTAAACAGGTCATTTGTTACAAATGATGAGAACAATAGAAATCCGTTTCCTTACTTACTGAAAACTCTATATATTTTCCTTGAATACATTAAAAATTTGAAGATATTTCAAAATATTTAAATAACAAGTATATTAATTGTTTTTCGAGTAAAACAGCACTTTAAGTAATTATTCTTATAGTATCATAAATTGAATAGATTAAAATCAGTGATTTTACTTTTAAAGGAGTCTATACTAAACAAGATTCGCGACAATGAAGGCAAGGTAAGAAATTATACTTTAAGAATGTCATAAAATATTAAGGCGTCTGGGTACCGACCATTTTTCAGGGGTTGAATATAGGCAATTTTGTGGTTTTTTCATGTTACGCAGTGTCGTTGTGTGAGAAATAAATGATTATTAGTGTGAGTGTCCATTGTTGGGAGTATTTTCGTCGTGTTATAGTCGATAACAAAACTGGTTGTGTACCTGCCTTACTTTTTGTTGCAATACGATTATATTGATAACGACACACGTTTATTTTATGTAGTATAAAAACTATAGTTAAGCACCAGCCTCACTGTAAATACTAATGGACGTGTCATGATTTCACAAATTTTAATTGATTATAAAAATAATTAAACTATTTATTTTCGACGATTAAGAAAAACTAAATATTTACAGAAAATAAGTTAAATCATATGACATCCACATCAATTATTTTGAAGTTATAAAACTATAAAAAAACTAATTTTAATTATAAGAATTCAATTTACAAAATTACATTATTTTCACACTAAAATATTTAAGTTTGTTAAGAATGTCATAAAATATTAAGGATAGATTTCAAATAAATTATAAGGAAATTATTTTTGGGAATGATGAAATTATATTGCGATGAAAATAATTTAATACATTAAAACATTATTGATTGTCATCCTCGAAAATATAAATTAATTAAATTTTCTAATTTTATTTGCCAACGATATAATGGGTTTATGATAACTGAAATAACTTATGTAAGATTTTGATTGGACGTTATGAAGTTATCGTTTGAAAATTATATCTATTGTAGTTATTTTAAAAATAATTACTTAAGTTTTTGAAATACAGTACTAAATTATAATATAAAATATGCCTTATTAACTATTATTATTTATTAATAAAAGTACATACAGACAGAAGCGTATTTATGTATTTACCGCTTATAGGCCTGTAGAAAATTGCCGCCCTTAATTATGATAAAATAAAATTTAATTAGGTAGGTATGCAAAACAAATTGAATTTATATTTTAAATACAAAATCATAATTATTAAAATTGGAAAAAAAGGAATAACAAAATATTGGTATCGGAATATTTTAAATTTATTACATAATAAATTGCTGATTTCCTATTATACGATCGGTTTACGTCGACATTTGGTTCTTGCAAATGTGTCTATTAAATCTTCACAATTCAATTCGCTTAGCATTTCATTCTCTATCGAAAATAATGCTAAATTATTCAACTTGTCATCAGTTTGGGTGGACCTTAAATAGTTTTTTACGCGTTTGAGGCATGAAAACGATCTCTCGGTAGTACAATTGGACACTGGTACACTCACAAAAATCCTTAATGCTGTGTCAATATTTGGAAATATTTCAATGTGTAAACTTTTTTCTCTTAAATACTGGCACAGTGTGATAGGAGTTAAATTATTTACGTCAATATCGATATCACTATTCAATAAATAAGATTGTAAATGTAAGCATTCTGACGAAAAAGTATTGTCTAAATCATTCGGGTACATTTTTTGCAATTTCTCAGCAAACTTAACTATTTCCAAAGAATTTAAAGATGTAATTTTTAGTAGTACTTCAAATATATCACAAAACGCTTTGAAGGCCTGTTGTCTTTTCTTAAGTTCATTTGTCATCTTATCAATAATTACGTAAAATGTTTCAACTCGAAATTTATCCCTACCAATTAACTCGGTTGGTTGCTCAGTTTTTTCATCGAAGTGTAATTTTTTTTTTTTTTGTCGAGATATACCAAAATTGTACTCGGTAGTCTTTGATATTTTTTTTGCTCTAGTTTCATATTCATCAAAATTATCTCGGGTTTTTTGAACTAGATTAATTAGTGATGTATAAATCTGAGAAACTTTATCATTTCCAATTTCAACACATTGTAATTGTTTATTAGATACATTAAATCGTTCTAATATATGATTCCAAAAAATCATCATAAATGATGTTTCTAACTTTTGCATTTGATTATAAAGACAATTTGACTCATTTCACGTAACACATTTTTCAAAAGTGTCATCCTTGATAGTGATCAATCCGTTAATAATTTCATCCCACGAATTATATAATGCTCGACATGCGTCTGCGCGAGCCGACCACCTGGTGTTTGATAAACTCTTAATTGTATTAGCATTACGTTTCATATTTAATTGCAAAATTGACCATCTCTGCGTTGATGCGGAAAAAAAATTATATAATTGTTGTATAAATCCAAAAAAAATTGATGCTTGTGGACAACTTTCTGCAGAAGATATGCCAACCAAATTTAACGAGTGAGCGCTACACGGTACGTAATAAACTAGTGGATTAATTTCTTTGATTCGAGCCTGAACTCCACTGTATTGACCTGACATATTACTAGCATTATCGTAGCTTTGCCCTCGACAGTCAGAAATGTCAATATCATGAGATTTTAAAGTATTAATAATGACATTAGTTAAATCTAAAGCTTTATGTCCTGGATTTGAAACAAAACATAAGAATCGTTCTACAGGAAGACCAGTTGCGAGGACATATCTCACCATAAATGATAATTTGTCGACGTGCGAAATATCTGGCGTCGAATCAATACTTATGGAAAAATATTTTGATATTTTTAATTCTCTAACAATATTATATTTTAATTTTTTCATCATTAACAAAATAAATTCGTCACATATAACGTGAGATAAATATGACGTAGAGCCACTGCCTTTACTTCCAAAACGAACTATATGATCGGCTAAAAACGGATCAAATTTTGCGATTAATTCGAGTGACATTAAGTAATTACCGTTGTGTACAGAACCAAAACACGAATCATGTCCTCGAAAAGGAAGACCACGAGAAGCTAACGATTTAATAGTTTCGACTACCCTTTTCAACACATTTCTCCAATATTCGATTTCTGTGTCTAATTGTTTAATCAATGAATTATCAATGCGCCCCAAGACATTACCTCTATGTTTTAAATTCATAATAGCATCTCGGTGCTCTTTACTATTTTCATGGTAGCTGAAACGGACAGTAGCATTTTTCCAATCATTGAACCCTTCAGTAACAAGTTGAGTTTCTAAAGATGTTTGAAATATCCGACAAGGCCCACAAAAAACTACTCCTAAACTGGGAGAATAAACTAATCATGAACGAACAATTGTTTCTCCATTAATTAATCGTCTATTAAACATAATTTTGGTCAAATATCTTGTTTTATCAGAATATATCCGTTTCGAGTTAATAAAGTCATTTGTCATATTTTGATTAAAACCATTTTTTGCAATATAGTCACGAAATTCGTCGTTAATAACCCATTTAGCTGGGTCTATCTCCAAAATGGTTTCATTTACTATCATATTAGTCAACTCATTTGACTCACAACTACCTTCTGGTTCAACATTATCCACTTCAATAGATTCACTAATTATTGTTGTTTCACTGTCACTAACCTGAAAATCTGTTTTCTTCATATTAATATCCATAATGTTACTACTATTACTACTACAAACACCAGAAGTAGAAGCTGGATTTTTAAAAAAATCAGTCAATTTTTGTGTTTTATTTAAAACATTTTGCAGTTTTTCACTTTTTAATTTGGCAATTTTTTTGTATTGGTCACCACTTAACCGTTTTCTATTCGAACTCATGCTCACAAAATAAAAAGAATATTTTCGAAAAAAACGACGACACAGCTGCAGCGGTACGCACTCAGCATTTTGCAGCACGGTCAGAACGCACAGGCGACAGTACGATAGACCACAGACTGAAATCACTTCTCATTTCTCAAGTAATAAGATAAAAGATCGGTCAAGAAATTTTTCGTAGAACCACTGCACTGAATGTTGATATTATTAGATTGTTAATATGTACTGTAGATAACTCACTGACCATTTTTTTGACGGCGACGGCGTGAATATTTCCGGTAGACAGCGATAAGAAACTTTAAAAATAAATAAATTCGAAATTTATTTGGAACCAATGTCATTGTTTTCAATACTTTAAGATACTTTTGTTGGCTGAATAAAAATAAGTTTCACCGAGTTAATATGCATGGCCATCATTATTGAAAAAAAAAATCCCATGAAAAATTTGCCGCCCCTTAGAATTTGCCGCTGTAGGCACGTGCCTATAGTGCCTGCATATAAATACGCCACTGCATACAGATTGGTCGGTTTATCATAAATCACTGATTACTCGCAAAATAAATATAATATTGGAAAAATAAAATATGATTTCTTTTAGTTACATATCATTCTTTATTTATCAGCTAATAATTACTTTTTAGAATCATCTTTTATAACTTAAAGGGGTGCCAACTTAATGTTTTTAAATGGCAACATACATATATAACTGATCTATAAAATAGGAATTAATCTAATGAAGAAAATGACACGTCGATAATAATTTTTGGATTACAGAAGTTATTAATAATTTAAAGCAATGACTGGAGGCGAGGAGTAGGTGCCGCTATTTTTATGCACCCAGAGAAATAGTTATTAAAATTAATGGAAAAAGTATATAAAACTAAGGAAAAACGGGTATGATTTGGAGCCTATGTAATCGATTCATTGAAATGACATCTTTTTAATCATTATATTAATGCTAAAGAATATTCATTGAAACAATTATTAATTTCTTTAATTTTATTCTTACAGTCCATAGTTTTAAATAATTGGGAATTAAACTATTGGAAAATTATTAACATTAATTTAATAGAAATACATCCTATGGTATTTATTTTAAAGATATAATTCGTTGTAATAATTAACTCTGATCATAAATTTAACTTTTCTTGAAACATAAATATGATGAGTTGCAAGCATTGATTTTAAGCTATTATTATTAGGTCGGTTTTTAAAACAATTCTATTTCTTCATAAAAATTAAAATTTCTTTGCATTACTTTAATAACTGCTTTACTTAGTGATAAAGTAAAAATCCATCTTCTATCATTTTTTTGTGAATAATAAAAACAAATGATTAGGTTATTTAAATTTAATAATTTTAACACTTTGCCATTGATTAAGTATATTTATTTTTAAAGTAAAAAATTAATCAATATAAATGATAAATACAAATTACAAATATAAACAGATGAATTCCTAATAAATAAGGAATAAAATTTACATAAATAAAATTATTATTATTTTAACATAGTTACTTATTCCATTAGTTTCTATCAAATTAACATTATATTAAAACATCAAATATAATTAAAAATAATAATAAACATATATAAGTATATATATATATATTAAAATACAAAATCCATAAATCTTTAAAAATGTTTTAATCTTATAACTGTTTTTTTATCATTAAGATGATATAAACAAATTGGTGGACCTGAGAAATCATTAATATCTTTTAATACATAGAGATTATCAGTATCAACATTCGAAACAACATAGCTTACAAAATGTTTATTATAAGATAGTACATTTAATGTTATACATAAAAAAAGAACTTTCTCATCAAAACAAATAATTTTTTTCAATTTATATACCAATAAATGATTGTTATTTAAAGATGTTAGTATATGACTGGTTTTATAAACTATATTGTTGTATATTATTTGGTCATAACAATGTGCCAAATTAAGTACAGATAAATCATTGGGAGAAAATAAAATTTTAATCTTTTCAAAATATTCACATAATTTAGTGGTAAGCCTAAGTTTGCCGAGATACAAGAACTATTTTTTAAATTTAAATTATAATCTGAAAAATGAATGGAGTATTTTATAGCCAAAGATATAGGAAGTTGAACTCTTGAAGTTATGTTTTTAGAGTATGCTTTAAGTTGTCTATGTTTAGATTCAAACCGATAACACCATAAAAATTTTAAGGGGCCTGATTTTCTTATTATATTACAGTAGTGGATAAGAAAATGATGTTTAGGTTTTAATTTGTCTTGAAATAATTCTACATATTTATTATTGTGATATGTGATATGATTTTGTACATTTAAAATAATTTGATCATTAAAATTTGACAATAACAATAAATCAATCATTTCAATAAAATTTATCAAGAATAACCATATTGGATTGTTACAATTAGAATTTTGATTATTAAGAACTTCAGATTTCATGTGTTTAGAAAATGAACGATAAGTTGAGAAAGTCTGTGAACAATGTGGTATGCCACAACGGTAAAAACTTGATGATGTTAATGAATGAACATACTTCAAATGTGCAATGAATTGATGAAGTTCAATAAAGATATCTTTACAATTAAAACAAATTAGATTCATTATTGTATATAATTTAGTAACTGTAATAAAGTTTAAAATATTAGATTAGAATAAAATTATGAGCAATGTAATAGATAAATTATGAAAACTTATATAGTTAAATCAGAGATTATTGAAGTTAGCGAAGAGCTTTTAATATCACAATCATTGTGATATTAAAAATTGTGATACAAAAATAAATTTTTGTATAAATGTCCAAACTAAACTAGATTGAATGGGGTACTGTAAGTTAAATACTTGAAAAATTTTAAAGCATGTATCTAATGCTCGTATTATGTTTGAAAATTTATAATAGGTGTTGAAAAAATACACATTAATATTATTGATACCATCAAAATTAGTTTCAGCAACACAGATGAATGGTTGTATTTTTTCTTTTTTTTTGTAAGCGATATCAATTTTTAATTGAATTTGAACATGTAGATCATTCATTGAAGCCACTTTTAATAAAAACGAATTTCTAGCATCAGAAATAGATGTTTTTACAATGCGTCTCTTATTTGTAACTGAATCTATTTCATAGGATCTGGAAGTTGGAACTAATAAAGCATTCATTAGATCTAAAACTAAAAGATTTCTGGTTTCTGTAAAAAAAATTAAAATATTATTATTTGATTAATTAAAAATTGTGAGAAATTATCTTACCAATATCAGTTTCGTTTATTTCTATTAAACGTTTAAGTAATAATTTGCTGTTTCCATCCTTTATTTTATTTATCATTAACGGAATGATCTTAATAATAAATTGATCCCAATTAACAAACAATGAATTTCCTTTTGAAGTATATATATATTCAAAATCAATAACAATCTAGAATTAAATTAATAAGTAATTATGTAAATTAGTATCATTGAAATATAAACCTAATTATAACTAAGGCATACACACACATACATCTCTATAAATTTAAAATCATTAAATGCAAAATAAATAAAATTGTAATCCTGAACATGTAAACATAAATATATTTTTCAATTACTATATTAATTGAAATATACATAAAAAACTACTTTTAAAAATACTTAAGAAATTTTAATAATTAAAATACCAAGCTGTGACCAAATGACTGTTTGTACATAGNCATTAAAAAAATCTTTAAATTTATTGAATGTGGTTTTATTTTAAAAGAAAAATTGTTATTTTAATTCATTTCAGCGTTATTACTAAGTAACACGCTAGGCTTAAAAACAATGATTCAATTTCATTAAAGCATGGAACGTTCTTTTTCTGAGTGTGATTAGTCTTTTTCCTTCCGTACTCTTCGTACCACCTAAATATAATAATTTTTAGTTCGATGTGCTTTAAAAGCGTGTTTTTTAGTTTTTTTTAACTATACTTATTTTTCACTTTTTAGTTTCATGTTATGATAGTAGTTACTATCAATATCATGGTTGTAACGGGTAACGGGAAATCAGGGTTCGATTCCGGGGAGGGAGACTGAGAAACGGCTACCACATCCAAGGAAAGCAGCAGGCGCGTAATTTCCCACTCTCGCAACGTGGAGGTAGTGACGAAAAATGACGATACGGGAATCATCCCCCGCAATCAGAATGAATACACTACATATCTCTTAATGAGGATAAAACGTATTAATATATAAGTTTTAATAGTAATTAGAATATATATATATACAAATAAAGCAACTTAGGTTCGTAAACGTATCATGCACGAGGTATAGCCGTGTTTTGTGGGCGGGCATGGCGGGGAAACATTATACACGAGTCATATACGGCGGCAGTGGCGTCGGCTGTAGGAATATATAAATGAATAATGAAACATACGTTTATATATATATATATATTAATATTAGCGGCGGCGGTAGGAATATATAATCTTGGCATAATATCGCGGCACTTTCGCTGGCGTCAACAACGCGATGTCCGGCGTGATCCTCGAGCGTCAAAAGGTTAGCAGCGTAGATGACGACGGTGCGCGAGTGCGGATCAGTTTGTCGACGTTGTCACTTTGACAACGGGGAGAAGACTACTGTATCATTTGCGGCGGGACGTCGTTGGCCGTACGACATTTGCTGGACTTTGCACCGCGGCGTATAACGCGCGGTGTTGGTCAGTCAAATACTCATAAAATAGGGCGACGGCTGATAAAAGTGGCACGAGTCGTGGGGCATCGTGTATAACGAAAGTTACAAACACAACATATACGCGAAACTAATATAAGCGTGTTAAATATAGTTATCCATTGTACTTGTCCAAAAAAGTTGTTCAATTTTTAACAACTTTAACAAAAGCTTATGTAACAACATACATTTAAGTTAAATTATAGTTGTATGAATTTAAAAATACAAATTATATATTTATATTTTTATGAATTACAAACAATCATGACACGTTAACGTAATACTTATGTTTATCAAATGTACACGTTTATTGAACTTATACGTTTATCAAGCAATACAATTTTGACCGTATACCTAATAAAATAATAGAATCCGTATGTGACGGTCGACGTGAACCTTTTATAAAGAAGTTTCACTTCAAAAAAAAAGTAACAAAAATGTTCGTTGGATCAAAAGTTATTAAATATAGCAAAATTTGGTGGGAAACACTGTACACTTTTAATTATACAGTGTTATAATTTATTTACTTTTACTTATAGGTAATTTATCAATTTTTATAAATATTTATTCATTTATTTTAATAATTTTCATAAACCAATAAATAACTTAGCATGCTTTTTTGTTAGATTCCTTATCCCTTAGCAGCTATTAACGCACATTTAGCAGGACGAGAATTATGTAAGCATGCTATAAATGGAAAAATAAGTATGGAAAACTTGAAAAAAGTCGAAAAACAAAAAAATTTAGCTTTTACGAGTTTTCACGAAATTTTGTTTGATTTCATTGGAGATAATATACCAGGTAATTAAGATTTATTTTTTTAAACGTGAATTTATACTATTATACAAATTAATATTTACATATGTATATTTTATATATTAGAATAGAACTTTATAACTTACTAATTTATTTGAAGAACTTGTAAATTCAAAATAATACGTAGTATGCGGTTTTATACATTCAATCAACTCATACTAATTTCATTGAATTGTAATGATAATTATAATAATTATTATATGTATATCATTTTTAATTTAAAAATTTGTAACGTAACTAAACGACTCTAAAAGTATTATTATTTATTACAGTGTAGGCTTAATATTTTATTATTAATGATTTCAATAATTTTCGATCTCACTTTAACACGTCTTAAAGGCTCAAGACGTTTAGGGGCTTTCGTTGAACTAGACAGTCTGATTTGCCAGTTATTTGTTATTAGCATCGGATCTAGTCGTTTTGATTTCCGGCCATAGTGATTTTTTTTGTTGTGTGCACTACAGTATAGATGTGAGTGTGAAAAGTTTTCATTGAAAACAACTACTTTGAACTATTTTTAAACATAATTTTTACAGTTTTAGAATATGATACATACATAATTTTCAGCCTAATCCTTCATTGACGAGCCCTTAAAATCCAGTATAATGTAAAAAATTTAATTATTTAAATAATGTCACAAATTATTTTAATTTAATTATATATTATTCGTGGTTTTTGAAGATTAAAATGGTTAGTATTAATTTTGAATGATCCTTAAAGAGTTGTATTTAATAATAAATGAAATATAATATATTTCATCCTATATGATTGTATTCATTAAAACCCATGTGTTAGAAAGAGTTGTCATACAATATAAATATTATATTTTATTTTGCAGTTATTTAGTATTGAAGCATAAAAAAATCAATTCAATATGTTTAATTTGAAAAGAAGCACTAACACATAGAAAATTTCTAAAATAAGCTTCAATACCTTTAGCTTCGATGCGAAGCTGAAAAGGTATTATTTGACTATGATGTGTTTATTTTTTTATTTAATTTTTTTGTGACTGGTACCATTTATTCTCAGCTCTCACTGGACCGATATTGGTGAACCATACGTCAAAAGATCACAAATAGTATCTATTTGGAGACAATACCCTTTATTTTTGAAAAAATTTCACTTGTTCTTCATAAATGGCGGAAATTCTCTCAAAAATTACAATTTTAAAAATTGGTAATTTTCAACATTTTTTCAATTTCTTTTATTTAAAACTGCTATAATTTTTTGAAAAATAGATGAATATAAACAAAATTATAATTTCCACAAAAAATTGTGGAAATATGTAATATGTAATATACTTATATATGAAAAAAAAAATTAGGCTATTTTTTATTAGCTATTTTTTATGTTAAAACTCTCGATTTTGTATTTTATTTTATTTTAAAATATTTTACAAGAGGAATACACTAATTTTCATAAATATTATACGAAATACAATGATTAACATTATTAAAAAAAGCTTCAATACATATTTGTTAATGTTTATCATAATTTATATATTTTTAATTCTATAACTTCTATAATTTCATACTTCACTCGAATATTAAACGTTTGTTAAATTATTTGCTTAATTGAAAATAACGTTATTTTTTCACTTTCACGGCCAATTTCTCATAATACAATAATCGTCAAGAATTTTTTTTTTAATATTGTAGTATATTTAAAAAGATTTAAGTTAATATAGATTAGAATTTGTTGGACCTTCTGGAACATTTTCAAAAATTTTTTATACATGTGTAGGTGATTTTTTTCAAACCCTTTCTGTATTTAGGTTTTCATTAGATTTTAATAAAATGCATACTAAAAGAAAACTTTTTATATTTAGTATTGTATATTAAAACTTCATTTGAGTTAATGTTTTTAAAAAGAGTTATAGCAGTTTGAAAATTATATTTTTATGGTAGTATAATTTTGAGATATTTTACTAAATGACTAAAATTTATGGTTTTTCCCATTTTCACCGACGATAGATTTAACTAAATTAAAATAGGATTCTTTTGGTGTATCGATTTTTAAAATCAGCCCAATGAGAACTGAGAATTTTTATGGACAGACAAAAAAAAAAGGACACCATCACAAAACCAATACCTTCTTAGCTTTGCATCAGTTGACTTTGAAAACATTAAATATTACATTAGGGTGGATCAAAAAAAGTTGATCTTCGAAATTTTAATGAGAACCATATTAACTTTATTATATTAATAAAATAGAAATTTTGTTTGAAAATTTGAGATTTTTAAAAAAAATTTTAATGTTGTCTCAACGTGTTTTAGTAATACAGTAATATTAATGTTGACAATCTATGTATAATTATCATAATCTTTTTTTTTGTTATCTAATAACAGCCGGCCGGCCTTTTTGGTATGCCCGTCAGTGTACGTTCCACCGCCTAACTAAGGCGACACGCTCCTAGTTTATTTTAGTTATTTATTATGTCAGATTGAATAAGTGTTTTTAAATAGTAATTTATGTCAAGTTTTTTTTGTTTATTGTTTGGATATTAAATATTATTAAAATTAAAGTACAATAAATAATTAAAAATATAGAGCGTTCTGTTATTAAATTTTAATACACCGCTCTCCCTAACATTTGGTCCTTACGAACACGATTGTTCAAAATTGAGCCGTCTAATAATTATTAGCATAAATAGGTGCTATTTCAATAAATAATAAATTTAGTTCGTTCGTTTTTTAGTTCCCGTTTAGTTCGAACAGTGTTTCGCGAGTTCGTATGTAATCGACGCGTAGGTGTTATATTCGGACAAAGAAAACGGAATTAATGGCTGTAACCAAATATAGCTAAAGCGTATAAAGTGTTGTTATTATCCGCACCTGTCAATAATGGCAGAGAAGGCAAGCAGCCAAAGAGAGGTGTTAAAGTCTCAGCTAACCAAATTTATGACCTATGTCAAAAATTTCAACAATGATAGCGATATCGAGCAATTAAAGTTACGAAAGCAAAAGGTTGAAGAAAGCTGGGACGAGTTTCAAAAACTACAGTCCGAAATCGAAGATAAGTCGTCGGAACAAGATGACGAAGAAAAATATAGAGATAACTTTGAAAATGATTATTTCAAGGCACTTGCTGAATGTAGCAGAGTGATGGAAAAATACAACAAGGTAAATAACCGAGAAAGTGTGACTGGGTCCCAACAGTTAGCCAATTTGCCAGTACCAAACAATAATGCGGCTCCATTCTTGTGATTAGGAAATTACAAAGTACCTGATTTCGACGGTGAATACAAAAAGTGGTCAAAATTCAGCGATTCATTTTTAGCCTTTATCGACTCGCAGCCAGGAATCCCTGACATACAAAAATTCTTTTATTTAAAAAAGGCCTTAAAAGGGAAAGCTGCAAAAGCAATCCAGGCATTTATCATGACTGAAGATAATTACAAATTAGCGTGGAAATGTATTAACGATCGTTTCAATAATGAAAAAATCATAATTCAAACTCATACAAAGGCTATTTACGATATAGAGGCAATTAAAAGAGAGTCAGCTTCTGAATTACGTCGTTTATTAGACACATTAGCGGGAGAAATGACTACGCTAAAACAACTCGGTACGGACCTGAGTTACCTGGGGTGCTATGTTGCTACACATAATTTCAATAAAATTAGATAGCACAACATTGAAGGCGTGGGAAACCGACGCGCCTAAAACCAAGATGCCAATGGTTGAAGAATTAATACAATTCTTAGAAAAAAGAATTCAAATTTTAGAAGCGGTAGAAGGTTCTCAGAGGCTGTCAATTAAAGGTGATAGCGACAGAAAGGAAATGCCATTTGTAAAAGATAGAAAGCGTAGGGAACCGGAGTGGCAAAAAAGAACGGCTATGCACGCGTCATCGGCAAAATTAAGATGTTATCTTTGTGATAAAACTCATGCGATATACCGCTGTCCTCAGTTTCTTTCGCTATCCATAAAGGAGCGTCAAGAACAAGTCAAACAATTAAATATATGTGTCATATGTTTGGGTCGTCACGCTGAAAATACATGTAAATTTTCCAACTGTAGAAAATGCAGCGAACGCCATAATACGTTATTACACGGCCAAGCAGACGACATTTCGACTAGCGCTGCCGTAAGTGCTCATACGACGATCGGGGAAAGTAAACAAGTTTTGTTGTCCACGGCAATTATAAGAATTGATTCCAAAACCAATGAGTCTTTTTTAGCTAGAGCATTATTAGACTCAGGTAGTCAAATAAATTTGATGACTGCTGAGTTAGCTCAAAAACTAAAGTTACCTAAAAGAAAAATAAATGTGTCTATTTCAGGTGTAAACAATACTGCGAACAAATCGCATTACGCAGTAACAACAACAATAAGAGCGAGAGAAACAGAATATAATAGTATTCAAGAGTTCCTTGTATTGCCGAAAATAACGACGACATTACCTGCCGATAATGTTGACATAGCTTCGATTAAATTGCCTGATTACGTCAAACGAGCCGACCCGTCCTATGCGGTTGCGGGGAAAATAGATATATTAATTAGAGCTGAATGTTTTTATAGCATAATTCGTGGCGGCAAGTACAATGAGAATCCGAATGTTGTTTATCAAGAAACGGACTTGGGCTGGGTAGCTGCAGGATCCGCTCTAATTATGNGCTGGGTAGCTGCAGGATCCGCTCCAATTATGAAAACGCGTACAAATCATTCATTTTTTACAACAACAGTTATAATTGAAAATGAAGTCAGCCTAAATCAGCAAATGGCGCAGTTTTGGAAAAATGAAGAAATTATACCTAAACGTATTGTCAACTTAGAAGAAAAGGCCTATGTTGATCATTTTGAAAATACAGTTAAACGAAATGATGAAGGCCGATTTGTAGTGGAGCTGCCGATAAAAAACAATTGTAATAATTTGGGCGAATCAAAGTCAAAAGCGATTACGCAATTTTTATCATCTGAGAGAAGACTTAAAAAACGAAAAATTAAAAAGAGACTATTAGGCCAGTCAACAAAGAAAAAATGGCGGAAAAAATTCCCAACCAATTTTTTTTTTTTTTTTAAAGTTGAATTAAGATATGTATAATGACATACTAAAAGTCCTCATTGATTGGACTTGAGCTTTTTTTTTTACAGCCTCGCAAAAGTTCAAAAATATAAGCTTTTTTAATTTTCTCAAAAAATATTTAACTTACAAAAAAAAGTTTCGTACAAAAGTTATTTAAAAAACAATTTTAAACAAAAAAGGTATCTTATATTTTTTCATTTAAACAAATATTTTTCGAGTTACATTACATTTAATATGAGTACTAAAATTTATTTTCCAATTTTTTTCATTTTACGGTTACTTTTTATCATGTTATACTTACATTAGACAAAATGTTATAAATGCATATGTGTGTATGTGTAAGTTTATTTATTTATAGTATCATTAAAGTGTAGTGTATAATAAGATACAACCGATAAAGTAAGTAATTGATTTGACGCTATATTGTTTAAACCCAACTAAACGCTAAATTGTACATTCCTAAACAACATTTATATTATGTCAATTGCCACCAGAATTTTTGCTAATCTTTTTCTTTTTCTTTGCCTTAATCCCAACTACTTGGGATCGGCCACCCTCATCCTAAACTTCCACTTGACACGATCTCCAACATCTTCTACGCTCACATCAACTGTCCTCAAATTGCATTCAATAGCATCCCTCCATCTCTTTTTTGGTCTTCCTCTACCTCTTCTTCCTTCAACATTAATTTCTATAACTGTTCTTACAGCTTCCGATTCTTCTCTCCTCATAACATAATCAAACCATCTAAGTCTATTTTCTCTCATCTTATACACGATTGACGCTACACTTACATTCCCTCTAATATGCTCGTTCCTTTTCTATCTTTTCTAGTCACTCCACTCATCCAACTAAGCATTCTTCTCTGCTACACTCATTCTCTGCTCTACTTTCTTTTCAACCGCCCAACACTCTGAACCATACATCATAGATAGTCTCACTACATTGTTGTAGAATTTATCTTTTAGCCTCATTGGAAATCTTTTATCGCATAAGACACCAGACACTTCTCTCTACTTCGACCACCCCCACTTAAACCTGTGTCTTACATTCTCGTCAATACCATCGCTCTTTTGCACTATTGATCCTAAATACTTAAAACTTTCTACCTCCCCATTCACACTCTCGCTTATTGTCACTGATCTCCTCATTTCACCTACCTCATGTTCTCTTTTGTCAACCCAGCCAGAATTTCTGGTAATGATAAAATTAATTGTCATAAAGTGTCTAAAATTGGTCTTGTTCTAGTAAACTCAATGGTAGATAATAACTTTCATGATATAGATCTTAAAAGGTCAAATAAAGTTATAATTGTATCTTCAATAACTTCTATTGTTAAAATTAATAATAAAATAATTAAAGTAAATCCACTGCTACTATTTCAACTAATCGCTATTTAAAAAAAAACCAGCAGTGTCCCGGCACAGTGTGTATAATTGGGTGCAGTATAGATGATATGTGACAATGATTAAAATCATTATCAAAAAACAACGCCTTGATGCAAATCTGTAGATAGTGTTTAATTTTAAAATTTTAATGGATTATTACAAAAACTACATGGTCTCCTATTTCCTTATTTATATCCTAAATTCAAGTTATATGCATTACTAGTGCAAAGTATGTAATCGATGGAGGATTTCTCCACTATAAACTTATTTGACAAATGTATCAAACAAAATTTTTTTCCATTTTCTTATTCATTTTCCCATTCTAAATTTTGATAGAATATATCTTCAACAAAAGTACAATTTTCTTAATCTTCAATCTTTATTTCTATTGAATTTGTACACCAATGACCTTTGCAATGTTCACATATAATAGAACATTGAAGCCCTGTTTTTTGGCAGCCACAACTTTTACCACCTCCAGCACCAGACTAAAGGCCGTTTTATGACAATTATCTTTATTATTAGCAGAAATTCCGGTGGCAATTGACATAATATAATTGTTGTTTAGGAATGTACAATTTAGCGTTTAGTTGGGTTTAAACAATATAGCGTCAAATCAATTACTTACTCTATCGGTTGTATCTTATTATACACTACACTTTAATGATACTATAAATAAATAAACTTACACATACACACATATGCATTTATAACATTTTGTCTAATGTAAGTATAACATGTTAAAAAGTAACCGTAAAATGAAAAAAATTGGAAAATAAATTTTAGTACTCATATTAAATGTAATGTAACTCGAAAAATATTTGTTTAAATGAAAAAATATAAGATACCTTTTTTGTTTAAATTGTTTTCTAAATAACTTTTGTACGAAATTTTTTTTTGTAAGTTAAATATTTTTTGAGAAAATTAAAAAAGCTCATATTTTTGAACTTTTGCGAGGCTGTAAAAAAAAAAGCTCAAGTCCAATCGATGAGGACTTTTAGTATGTCATTATACATATCTTAATTCAACTTTAAAAAAAAAAAAATTTGGTTGGGAATTTTTTCCGCCATTCGCCAAAATTACTCCTTCGTTGACTGGCCTATATGTGCAATTTATGCAAGAGTACGAAGAATTACAACACATGCAAGAAGTCCCTGATGAAAGACAAAGCAGTTGCCAACAAAACAATTATTTTATGCCGCACCATGCCGTTGTTCGCGATGACAAAGTCACTACGACAACGCGGATTGTATTCAATGCGTCTAGTTCTTCTAGTACCGGAGTCAGCCTTAATGACGCGTAAATGGTAGGCCCAGTAATACAAGAAGATATAGTGTGTATTCTCATCCGGTTTAGAACGCACAGATACGCATTATGTGCTGACATCGAGAAAATGTATCGTCAAGTGTGTGTAGCTGAAAAGGATTGGCCGTTGCAGCAGATAGTATGGTGATCCAATCCAACTGAAAACATAAAAAGTTATTATTTGAAAACTTTGACCTTCGGTACAGCACCTGCCTCGTTCATTGCGACAGCATGTTTAAAAACCCAGCACAGGGGGGTCGCGGCACAGTGGTGACGTGGCATAGTTGGATCAAGTATAATGATATCTGACAGTGATTAAAATCACTATCAAAAAAAAACGCTTCGATGCAAATCTTTAGATAGTGTTTAATTTTAAAAAATTGGTGGATTATTCCAAAAGCTTCATAAACTGCTAGTTCCTTATTAATATCCTGATTAAGACAAAGTATGTCGAATAAAAAAGAGATTATTAGAAAATAGTATTTCCCATAAAAAAATTATATTGATCAATACACTTTTCAATAAGTTATAGCATTATAA